ACAAAACTCTAGCTGAGGCCTTGCCCAAAGCTAAGGATAGCAAAAAGATTACCTTTCATTCATAATGGATTATACTGCGTTTATGCATCCAGTTGTAATGATGACTTTTTATGCAACAACATGTTGTTGTTCAGTCTGTGAACCAATATGATCCCAGATGACTTTCTGAAGAACTGTTCCCTAATCAGTTGTTCCCCAATCTCTGTGGGTTCAGATAACTGTTCCTGCTGCAACAAAGAGCCTCTGACCATTCCTTATTCAAATTCTTCATGTCATTTCTCCAAGTTGGCAGTACTGTTTTGAATTGAAGTCTTGTTCTCTTGATACAGTTTTAATTCACTTAGCTTTATGCCTCTGCAAATTTAATAAGTGTGTACTCCACTCTACTGTCTGAGTTGTTAATGAAAGTATTAAATAGCGTCAAATTCAGGACAAACCCCTGCGGAACACAACTCAATGTGTCCTTCTGTTTTGGTATATAACTACTCCAAGTTCAGCTTTTCAGTTTCACATCCATATGGTGCTTGTTTCTTCTAACTCATTTATTTGCTGGTAGCTTATGAGAATGTCATGTGAGATGGTAACAAAAGCCACGCTAAAGAGAAGATATATAGCAGTGATTGCTTTTCATCCATTCATGAGACCTGTTACTGCATCCCACAAGTAACTAACACTGCGTATGACTTATTCTTGATACATCTTGGCTACTGGTTATCTTTTTGTTCTTTCCTAAGCACTTAAAAATTGTTTGATTATTTGTTCCTATGTTTTCTTAGGCTGAGTGGTCTGTAAGTCCTCTGCTTTTTTGTCTCCTTAACCCTATTTTTTAAAGTTGCTACACTTCATCTTTTCATAGACCTAGCACTCACTTATTCTCCCCTAGTTTTTGGCAGTGAGGATACATCCTTTCATTTGACGCATTTCCTATTTTAGGTGTTTCTCTTAGTGATATTTGCAAAGTAATCTCTTGTTATCATTGGCATCCCTTGCCAGTTTTGTCTCATCCTGCACTTGACCCTTTTCTGATTGTGTCCCTACACATTGTGTTCCTGTAGGCTTGTCAGTAGCAATCAGAACTACTTTGTACTTTGTGTTCTGCTTTTTGTGTTTGAGCTCAATGAAGAGCTCATGAAGTAGCTAAGTTGATCTCTTACTGCATTGCCTATTCTTCCCTTTCATCAAGGGTAGAATTGCAAATTATTGTAATGTCATTTCTGTATGAAAACTACTGGTTCACCTGAATTCTTTTCTTAAAAATCACAAGTAACCCAAGTTGCCTTCTAGCCTAAGTTTCTCATGAAGCTTTCTCCTATTGATTAGGATAAAAATCTAGAAGAATTTCTTTTAACCTTTTCTCCCATCTTTATCTACATGCACTAGCCAGTGTGTGTCTTGGCTAATGCTTCTGATTGCTTCTGAAAACACTGGTTCGTTTGACCTTTCTTGATTTGGTGAGGTATCAGCCCATTGCTATGATACTGCCACTGCACTTCTGAGCAAGTATTTGTGTCTCAGACGTACAGGACACGGCTGGATTTTTTATTTTTTTGGTTCAGTTGGGTTTTGGGGGTTTTTTGTGGTTTTGTTTTTCCTTGGCCTGTTCTTTTTAAATGAATGGTTCTTTTATGGTAAGGCTAGAGGATGGTGATTAGATGGATTTTCAGTATAATTTCCATGTGCAGATTTTTTGGGGAGTGGAATGGGGACTTCAGTACCCTGTTAATACTAGTGGATGCCATATGTGTTTTGACATAATGGGATGTGATTGTATGACTCCATTCTTGCCTTCCCAAGGAGGCTGGGTTTCAGGTATCCTTGCCTCCGAGTGGCTTGACCAGCTCTTGTTCAAAAGTGCTGGTACCAGACACTATGTAAGATGTAAGCAGTTATAAAAGGAAAAGTATTCTGTTTCTTTTTTACTGGATTAAGCTGCATTTTGCTGCCTTTGAAGCTGTGAAACTATTTAAGAATTTGATCTACCATGTTTTTGTATTAGCAACTTTGAAAAGTAACCGAACAACTTGTTTCTCAATGTTAAAGCTGTTACAGTTATCCTCAGTGTATCACTATATTACTACTAGTTACACTGTTAGTAAAAAATAAAGCGTGCCTGAGGCAGGTTTTTTCATACATAAGTCTGATTTAAAAGAAAATTCTGGTTTGCGTTTTGTAATCTTTATCTTACTTTGTAATGTTAAAAAGTGCATTGAAAGCATAGAACTCTGCAAACACCACAAAGCTGGGCAGGGTACAAGAATAGACAAATAAGGACAAGAGCTTTATACTCTGCTCAGTAGCAGACTGGCCAGAACTTATTCTTGTAATCTGAAATAGAAGAGTGAAGACTTTTTTGCTTTATCAAGGGGCCATCATGAAGCTGTTACTTGGTCCTCACTTTTCATCTGAATCTGTGTGCCCTAACATGCTCAAGTAACTCTCTCGGCATGGATTGCTGAACAATGTTATGCATTATCCCATACGGATGATTTTAATGGTCCCCTTCTGTCTGGACCTGTGTGGAAATGGATGTAAGAATGGATTTTCTGGCTTTACACAGGCTGAGAACTTGGTTATACCACAGACTAGTAATAAAAAGCCCTTTCTATATAAGCTGTTGTGGTGGTTTAGCCCCAGCCAGCAACTAAGCACCACGCAGTCACTCGCTCACACCCCCTGCCCCGATGGGATGGGGGAGAGAATCGGAGGAGTAAGAGTGAGAAACACTCCTGGGTTGAGATAAGAACAGTTAAATAATTGAAGTAAGTAAAATAGTAATGATAATAGTAACAATATAATAATAATGATATACAAAGCAAGTGATGCACAATGCAATTGCTCACCGCCCACCGACCGATACCCAGACAGTTCCCGAGCAGCGATCGCTGCTCCCCGGCCAACTCTCCCCACTTTCTATACTGAGCATGATGCCATATGGTATGGAATAGCCCTTTGGTCAGTTTGGATCAACTGTCCTGGCTGTGCCCCCTCCCAGCTTCTTGTGCACCTGGCAGAGCATGGGAAGCTGAAAAGTCCTTGACTAGCATAGGCAGTACTTAGCAACAACTAAACCATCAGTGTGTTATCAACATTCTTCTACTACTAAATCCAAAACACAGCACTATGCCTGCTACTGGGAAGAAAATGAACTCTACCCCAGCTGAAACCAGGACAGCTGTGCAAAGGGAGTAGGGGAGAGATCTATCCTAATATATTTAACAATATGAGTTATCTTTTATTGTATATGTAACTGTCAATATGTCATCTTAACCAGGCTGTGGAAAGCCTTTCCATCAGATGTCTCTAAAATCAGACTGTTTCAAATCCATTATCATTCAGAAGCTGCTTTCTCAGAGGGTGCAAATTAGAGTTACAGCTTAGAAGACCACTGATTACAGTTGCGATAGGGATTTTGCCACAAATTTATGAAACACACCTGTCCTGACCAAAGGAGAGAAATTCAGCTAGTAAAATGTAAACACTATACATGGCTACTTTTCTACAAGTTATAAAAAATAATTTTATAACATTTAGAATAGTTTTAACGAGAGGCAAAAAAAATCCTGGTGTTTAGATGTTTGTCTCCAACGCTGTCATGTATTTGACAAGTAAAATACAGAATATTACTTCTAATTAGTTTACTGGCTAACCTGTGCTTGTGTACTAGCTGGCCAGTAAGCAGAAAATAATTCTCAAGCCAGATGAACCATGTGCTGCTTTTTTCATGTGCAATCAGTCACATGGGATGGGAATGAAGACATTTTGGTACAATACTCAGGGACATTAGAGTAAGCTTAGAACTTTGTGGAGGAGATCTGGGAGACCCATGCTGACAGTACGTTGAAGGTGCAGGAAGGAGATGGTGGTTTTGTATGTGATGAGCCATGATGGGATGAGGGGATGTGAATTGGGTGTAGGCGTTCCCATGGCAGGGATTGCAGCAGGCACAGGGAAGATTTGGCATTATTGCAGTGAAGTATGTAAGAGATCTTTAAGGGTGCAAACTGAAGATCCCTTCTTTTTACTTGCATTACTGCATTAATGTAGTTGCATTATACGTACCTTGAACAAGTGGGGAAATTTCCGCTTATAAATAAAAATCTAAATCGAAATGAGGGTATGAGTTAAGGTTTTTTTTCCTGTTTTTAAAGGCAAATATAGTAGGCTGTGATGACTGTATCATCAGGAAACCCAAGATGAACATAAGATAAGGTGCTGTAGAAAAGTTTTATCATCCTGTCATCTATGGCTGTGGAAGCACTGTTAAATACCTTTATACAGTATGCTTTTCTGGTGGTTATCTACAGTGTGTTAATACTTTACTAACAGGCCTCCATTTTTAATCATTTAGTAACAAAACGATATATTAATCCTCTTAGAAAATACTAAATACATAATATATAATCTAAAATAGAAATAAACAACAGGAACAGGTTTTAATAAGTCTTATAATCAACTTGATATTAAAAAATGTGCATTATTTTCCAATATTCTTCTTTACTGTGGTTTGAATTCACAGATTTCATGGTACAGCTACTTCAAAAATGAAGCTCAGTATTTAGGATAATGAACACATACATTTAAGTAAAATAAGTTCCAATTTTTTTTTACTTCTTTCAACATTTGAGCTATTCCTTTATCCTAATTGTTTTTGTGTTTTTAGACTTGAAATATGCCTCATTGGAATAAGTACTGAGGGTAGTGATATATTTTCTAGTTGTATTTCTCCATATCTTCTCAGTATTTGATTATGTACGAGATGATAGCATATATTGCCTTTTCTACATCTTTTACTAGTCAAAAAAATGTTTTAAAAAAACCTCTCAGCTTTATAGAAGTGGCATTTTTATCAGTGGTGGTTATTGTACTTTTTATTTCTTTTTTTGTGAAAATCAGTGTTACAAAAAAGCTTCTGTGGAGATGAGTGGGAAGGAGGTCTAAAATGTGAACTTGTAGATTTTATGTTGGGGACTTCTTAAGTGACAGTTTGTCTTGTTTCTCAGCCATATTATGTCTGAGTATGTGAGGATGACAGATACAGAACGTGATCAGATAGATCAAGATGCTCAGATATTTATGAGGACATGTGCCGATGCCATTCATCAGCTGAGAACAGAAGGTAAACTGAGCAACCCTTAAATGTTTTTTCTTAGTTATTGGCAAAAGCTAATATAATGCTGAATATTGGATGGTGAATCTGAACTGCTTTTGGAAAGAGATTGGTGAAGCCTGATTGCCTTTTTGTTTGCATCTGTGTAATCCCATTGGCTGATTAGTACTGTACTTAATTTTCTTTAATGTTAGTGGAAGGAGAAGCCAGAGCATAGAATTTTATTTATTTGTTCAAATACAGTAATTAGCAAGTGTAAAAAAGATAGCCTTAAATATTTACTACTTGAATAGTAACTTAGCACTGTGGCACAGAGGCCTGAACCAAAGCTGACTAATTTCAATGGTTGTCTCTTTCTTGCTTGTCCACCTGTAATGTATTACAAGTATGATCTTTCCAAGTTCGAGATAATTAAATAACTTCAACAGAGTCCTAGTAAAGTAACGGTGTTTTTGACAACTTGAGTATGGGATCATACCTTTACAACACTATCTTATGAAAGTTGTAGAGAACTTCTGTTTTGCCATTTTCCATTGACTTGCTGTACGTGTTTTGTTTCATCGATATACCAAAGATTTTCATCAGCTTTGAAATGCCATCTAAACATAGCTGTAGCATTCTTCAGAATCATTGAAAGTCAGTCATGCATGGGAACTACATAGTATCAAAATAAGAAATATTAATATATGTGAATTAAAAGGATGCTTGACACAATAAATCACAAAGTTTTCCACATAGTCTATATGCTGGAGAATTTAAAATGTTAGAAGTTCAACGTTTTAAGCAAGTTAAATCTCTAGATCTGTTTTGCTATGCTTAGATTGGTGACATCTATTCTTGTTTAGCAATTTAATTGACATGACTCAGTGGCATATATAACAAATCAATAACATAAACACTGTAAGACACTAGTTGTTTTCAGCTTTTGATTTGTTGTAATGATTTGCAGTTGTACAGAAGCTATATTTAAATAGAGCTATGTTTAAAATAATTACTAATATGTAACATATATAAAATGTTAATAGGCTCTTGAATATACTTGTGTATCAACTGAAAATGCAAACTTCTGTGCAATTCAGTAAAAAGGTAAAAGATTGTTTTATATCTTTTGTATTTCAGCACACAAGGGTGTCCAGTCTGCTCAGGTAAAGGAGCACAGAACAGCTGTCTTGGACTTCATTGAAGATTACTTAAAAAGTACTTAGTAATTATCGAATGGTTACAAACAAATTATTATATCTTCCAAGTAAGAAACCATGCTCCTCTAACCTGAAATTTTGTTTACTGCTATCTTGAACAGGAGTGTGTAAGCTGTATTCTGAACAAAGAGCCATCCGAGTTAAGCGAGTGATAGATAAGAAGAGACTGTGAGTATTGTCAAAAAATAGTTTAACTGTGCCTTTTGTTTGTAGGACATCCAACAAGGCTATTATCAGTGTTTAGATTCTAAGGAGATTGTTTGAATGGAAATCTGTAGTTGGATGAGCAACTTCTGCTGTCAGCAGGTGCATTCCAGGGCTCTTTTACGCTTCTGGCACGTGAAGTTAAGTCTGTAAATGTCAGAGTGCCAACATAGTGTTGTACTTCTCATTTGTGTAAATGATTAAAGCACCAAATCAGTAAAATGTGGGTTAATAAACCTACTGGACTTCTACAAATGCAACAAAATATTTTTGTGTGTCCCACTAAGTAATATTCTACATAAAATAATTTAGAATGAAATCCTGCACATTGGTAATATGTCTCAAAGATGCTATTTAGGATACTGCCTGCTTAGGTACAAGGGATGCTCACTTTTCTCTCCCATTCTTTCTTTTTGGTTTTTTTTGTTTGTTTGTTTTGGGGTTTGTTTTTTTTTTTTCCTTCTTTAAGCCCCTAGCTTTCTGCTAAAGCAAGTGATTATGTTGTGAATAAATGCTACTTCAGATGGTGGGTCTTCATGACAAGTAGAAACAGGATTAAAATTGAAATCTTGAATGTAACTTCTTAACTAAAACAAAAGAGTTTCTGCTTCCTATTCTGGCATACGTTCAGGCTGCTAACATAGCGGCGAAAATGTCTAGGAGAAGTTAAAGATGTTGTGCTTGCTGGCTTTTTGGTCTGTGGTTTTTTTTGGTTTGGTCCCCATCATCCCCCGCCGCCCCCCAAGTCAAGTATCAAAAAAAATACTTTTTCAGTTTCTTTTTCTGCATGCTCCCAAGTGTAAGAATGACAAGGAGAATGAACAGGTTTGCAATTTACTTAATACCAGAAAGGCTTTCCATGTCTTCTCAATCTGCATTATTTGAATTCTAACCTTAAGTTCTGTTACGTACATTTTAATTTAAAAATAACATATTCTAGAACATACACATCAATAAATAAATTCTTGAGTGTTTTTCCAAGACTTGATGCTGCTATATCAGTTTGGCGTTTGGCTCAATCAGCTATTTACATTGAAACTAGAGAGATGTTTTCAAAAGTCTGTAAGTACATTTTATTCAGAGTGATTCAGCATGATTAAGCACAGATTCATTCAACTGTATCCTCCTGAGACCTAAACAGTAGTACAAGCCAAAACCAAGTAAACAAAATGCCTCAAACCAGTTCTGAGATTTGGAAAGAAGTAATGAGAGGAAAGTAAGGCATTGGTATATTTGTAACTCCCATAACTTTTCTGAAAAAACACAGAAACAAACTGTGTGATATTTTTTTGTGTGTTAAAAAAAAAATACACAACCGAATCAGTATTCTTCACACTAAAAAACTTCAAAGAAAGGTAGCATGGTTCCTGCAGTTATAGAATTGGCTAACAAATACCAGCTCTTCTGTTTATTGTACTCTTATATTATTGTTTCCATGTGAAATACCAGGTTCAAGATTTCTCAGATGACTAAACAGAGAAAACAACTCAATTTGATGTATGCTAAACATGTGTCATGGTTTCTGAAACCAGGACAACATGGAGCAATGAAAGAGCTATTTCAGAAGTTAGAATGCCACTTAAATAAAGAGCAATAAGACATTAAAAAATAACCCAGAAGATGCAGTCCTTTTATGTAGTATTGGAGGATACTTCTTTGCCTCTTTTTACAGATGTAAGAACTAGAAAACAGATGTTGACCTGGTGGAGTCTGTATGCATGTGATGCAATGGCTAAGTTGTCATTTAAATTAAAACTCACTTTAAATAAATAGGGCATAAACCAATCTTTATGATGACTTGAAAACGAATTGTCTTTTTTCATATGCCTTCTACTAGTTGATTTGTAATTTCCACAAGGATTTCAGCAGATGCTTTATGTGATAATAAGAACGTGTTCCATCACTTAAAAAGAACTAGGTATTCTTTAAATAGTGAATCCCAGGCATTTTGTTTGGTTTTAATTGAAAACTTCGTACATTAGCATACTGTGCAAAGTAAGGACAACAAACAATAAAGGAATACATTTCTTTAAAAGTAAATTAATCCTAGTGCAGATCTTCTTTCCTGCAATTTAGTCAACTTAAAATATGTGCATATCAAACAATACTGAAAGGTTTGCAGTAGAAATACACTTCATCATGTTTCCTTTTATATTGATAAACATCCTAAGCTCTTCAATAAATTGTCTGTGTGATAATTTTCTTACATAAGTTGCCTTTATGTATTAACTAATATTTTTTGATTAAAAAGTTCTGCCAATTACATAGGACTAGTTCCCCAGAATGAGAAGTTGAGAAATAGAAACACAAGCAGATTTTTCTGTAAAGGTACTTGGTTGTGATTTTCAGTTTTTGTGTTTGTTGGTATTCAAATTTATATTTCATTTCAATTTTAAACTTCTTTTTCCATTAGAGTATCCTGTGAATTAGTTAGCAATTATTAAAATATTTTTTAAAATATTTTTATTATTTGGGGAATTGGTGTTTTGTTAGTATCAGAACTATTATTTGAACTGCATGGACATCCAGATAAGTCTTTTTTTTTTCCCCTCATTATTAGGCAAATTAGGGACTTGAGAGGGAGGAGATGAGAGAAGAGTTCTTTTTTGTAAAATTACCAAAAGCCCAGTACTTGCAGAGTTTTTAGAACTAAGAAAGGTTCCCTGTTACTGTTTTTCTTGTTTAAATAACATAGTCACTCAGTGATGACTAATGCATTATATTCTGTTTTTCTCAGAATTTTCTAATTATGGGTTAGAATTTAGACCCAATACAAAGAAGGAAAGGAACACAAAATGCAACACCTTCTGTTAAGCAGCAGGGGAATATTGCAGATCACAAGGAGATTAACTGTTGATTAAATTTGAGAGGGGAGGAAGTGATGAAGGCAGCACAGCAGGTGATTCAGCCCATTGCTTTTTGTTTTTTTGTTCTTTAGCTTCTCTAACAGCATAATTGCTAAGCATTTAACTGTCTACTACATAGCAGTTACAGAATTCATTGTAGACGACAATAAACCACAGAAGTTTACTGGAAAAAGTATGTTACCACTAATTCTAAACTTTTTTTTGTGCCACAGTGAAACATACTTGACAAGTACTTAATATATAATCACTGAATATGCTTCTCATTTTTTGCATTGCCTTTGTATTAAAATTACATAGCAGGGACTTAGATGTAGTATGTATCTGTCCGCTGCATACAGTTTTTCTTCTTCTTGCTTCTAAATGGTCTATTGTGTCTTTTGGCAGACAAGGTAAGGATCATTTTCATTCTGGCTAAACTATTCTTTAAAGTATTTTTATTTAACTAACTTGTTTCATGAAAAAGCTAATTCTGTTGCATTTTCTTACTTTTCCTTTATGATAATTGACAATATAAAGTAAAATTGTAATTATTACTTGAAAAAAATAAAGCAGTGATGTTGGCTATTGCTACTAAAAAGAATTTTCAGTATGACCAAAATGTTGTTTGGTTGGGGTTTTTTTTAAATATATATATTCTAATACACTGGATTTCTGAAAGGATTTTTAACAAAATGTCTGTGTTCTTATGCTATAACCTTCAAAATTCTCCTCAATTCTGAACATGTAATGTGTTTTGTTCAGGAATACTATTCGTGCTTTCTTTGCTTTTACAATAATAAAAATTGCTAAGTACATTTTTTTATCTTGACTGGGAAATCTTTAATGTGAGGCTTGTAGGAGTTAAAGTGTCAAATTTAATAATCTGTGGTTGTTCTCATTTTAGAGAAATTCAACTATGTAATATCAGTTAAATTACAGGCTGTTGTGCTTCTAGGTCCAGACTTGAACCTGAGCAGAGCAATGTGTCCAAATCGCCTCTTTCCCCTGAAAAATCTTCACAGAATCCTTTAGATGATTCTGAAGAAAAACTTTCTGCTGAGGAAAGCAAAGGTAAGAATAAACCAGTTATATTTTACTTTTTGTGGCAAGGCCTGTCTGGTCAATAGTACTTCCTTCACATTACAAGACTCTGTTCCTGTGACTTGGACCTTTTCTATTTTCATCTTCCCTGAGCTGATCAGGCTTTTGTGAAGCGCATTGTGAGACTGAGGAAGCAAAATCTTAAACTTTTGGACGTGCTTTTTCCAACCAGCTAAAGTCTTATGCCTTGCTGGATTCCTCATCCTCTCAATAAACTATGTGTGAACTCTTTCTTTATTTTTATCAGTATCCATCTACTTGCTTATCTTCTGAGATCTGTCTGACTTTTCCACATTCCTTTCACTGATGGCAAGGAATTGGAAAGTAGCTCAATGACTTTCTGGGAACATTTTCTGGTTTTTAGGCACAGAGACCTTGCATTGGACACCTCTACAGTAGTAACTTGGAGGTAGAATATGCTCATAGAGGGGAGGTTACTGGCTGGCCAGATCCAGTAGTTTTGGGTATGTTCTTCTCCACAGCATTGAGTTTCCCTGCTGGAAAGATTGTATCTCATCTTCGGTGGACAGGAAAGAGCCAGAAGCCCAAGGCAGTTATCTCTGACCCCAGGGCCATTTCAGCTGGTGCTGTTCTTGACAGGACTTGTGAACATTTCTTCTGATTCCTTGGTGGCCTGCTTCTGAGGCCAGGAGATGGCAAGTCCCTTCTCTTAGCGGTTTTGGTCTGTCCTGGGGTGAGTTTGCTGGCAGAACTTCGTTGCGGAGTGCCTTTCGGAGTACCACCACTATGCAGATAATTTCAGGTTGCATACCTGAAGAGAAATCTTGTTTCTGTGGTTCTGGAGTTGCTTTCCCTGGCTTGAGTTCTCCTGCTTGTGCTTCTAGGGGGGTGCAAGGTACCCTGTGATTTAAAGCACGAAAATTATTTTTTGAGAGAAACAGAAACTGTATGAAGTGTGACATTACATTAGGATACTACTTCATCAAGATAGAAGTGCGCTGCATGGCCATATGTCGTGGTTTAGCCCCCAGCAACTAAGCACCACTATGCCTGCTACTAGGAAGAAAATTAACTCTATTCCAGCAGAAACCAGGACACAGTATTATTCTGATAATCAGTTATTGTTTCTTTTGGTGGTTTTTATTAAGAGTTGTCCTGGTTTCAGCAGGGTAGAGTCAGTTTTCTTCCTAGCAGCAGGCATAGTGCTGTGTTTTGGATTTAGTAGGAGAAGAATGTTGATACCATGCTGATGTTTTTAGTTGTTGCTGAGTACTGCTTATGCTAGTCAAGGACTTTTCAGCTTCCCATGCTCTGCCAGGTGCACAAGAAACTGGGAGGGGGCACAGCCAGAATAGTTGATCCAAACTGACCAAAGGGCTATTCCATACCATATGTCATCATGCTCAGTATAGAAACTGGGGGGAGTTGGCTGGGGGGCAGCGATCGCTGCTCAGGAACTGGCTGGGTATCGGTCGGCGAGTGGTGAGCAATTGCATTGTGCATCACTTGCTTTGTATTACATTATTATTATTATTATTTATTATTTTGTTATTATTACTACTACTACTATTTTACTTCAATTATTTAACTGTTCTTATCTCAACCCAGGAGTGTTTCTCACTCTTACTCCTCCGATTCTCTCCCCCATCCCACCGGGGCAGGGGGAGTGAGTGAGCTGCTGCGTGGTGCTTAGCTGCTGGCTGGGGCTAAACCACAACAGAGTAAAGTTCTTCTGGTTGGTGACTTTAGGGCCATGCAAAGGGTGGATTCATGTGAAGTGGGTACTCCAGTTCTGGATGAAGACTCTTAATACTGAATTACCTCACAGTCAGCGTACGAGTGGTTTCATTTTCTGATACAGCATTGCTTATCTTCCTAACCAGTTTGTATTTCTGCAGCCCTATCGGTATGCTTTCCCCCCCCCCACCTCCCCAACACTGAATTTACTGTAAGAAGTAAAGGTTTTGATTATGTGTAGTTTCTAGTGCTTACTAGGTTTTAATAGTATGTCTTAAGTGATGCAGCACACAGGCACATAGATGAGTTTCACCTTAACACGTTATCAGTGTTTCGCAGCTGTGAGCTAGTGCCAGCAGAGAAGCGGCAGCGTAGTAGCATCTGCATTGCCCTCTGCTCTTTCCTTGTTACTGAATGTCTCCACAATCTCTGAAAGTGTGCACTCCCACCACATCGCATCGTTACCATTTTTTAGCTCCAAAAATCTGTGCCATACCATGGAAAATGCTGTTCTTTGGTTGCCTTGGACACAGCAAACCACTGCAATAAACAGAAATGAAGCTTTGTTTCTTGCACATTAATTTTGATTGCTCCAGTTTTCACTTTTATTAGTTTATGCTTTAATTTTTTATAAGAAAGTGGGGGTCCTGTCACATAAGTGATGCTGATGCAGTACTTATGAGGGATTGCTGACTAGTCTTTGAGAAAACTATGAAACTTGTATATCAAAATAAATCTGTCTGAAACAGTTTTGTACTGTTCCTCACGTGTCAAGTGTAAGTGTTGGTTGTTGCTGTTTATAGAAATCAGCTTTGGCTTTGCTGGTAGGTAGTTGTTGAAGCATGGGAATAGCACGAATGAGATGACTAGGAAACAAGAAGCTCAGTTTAAATCTTGTAGCCTTTACTTGTTTTTTTTTGTTTGTTTGTTTTACAAGTAACTTTTCAAATTTTTAAGAAATTTGAGAAATTATCATGTTTAGAAATAAACCATTTCATCCTTAGGATGTTGGTGGTTTAGAGAATGGTGATCATTTGTATTTACAAATTAGCCATCATCAGTGTGCCTGGGTCCGTTGCATAAATATCTGGGGTGTAGAGATAGCCCTTCTGAGAGCAGCTTCTGGTCCTGTCTTTAAATTGAATGTTATGATGAACAGCTGAATGAATGTCCTACTTGGCGTGCTGAAGCACAACTTAGGTTTTGTCTGTTTTTTTGGCAGAAAACAAAGGAAAACATGATTACTTTTTATTTTGAGGCAAAGCACCTTACATTAGAATTATACTGGACGTGCCTCATGGTAGGAAAATAGTCTCTCTGGAGATTGCTTTTCTATGCTGACAGTATTTATTTGCATATTACAAATTTGACATTTAGTTTATGGAAATAAATGTAAACAATGAGTAGATTTTGAACTAGTCCGTAAGCTTAGCAGCTGTCTTCTTTTCAGCATGGAAAAGGGTTCAGACGATTTGATCATTACTTTGTATCTCTGTCATGCATTAACTACTTCTCTTTCTGCAAAGGAATGTCGTTTGGCTTTTGCTGGATGAATTGTAGAAAAGCGTCAATGTCAGCTCCATGAAAGCTGCAGAACAAGTTTCCCAGTAGCCAGAAACATACTGCAGTGACAGGAGGAACCCTGGGGACATATGTGTTTCTCACTTACCTCTTACCATAAGTATATTTGCTTATTAGCAATCACATTGGATACAGGTGCTGTTTTTTTAACAGTGCTGACAGTGCCTGAAAGTAATTGATTCCTCTGGGATAAAATAGGAATATATATTATTGCTTGGCTCCATAAACTAATTATCTTTTCTTTGAATCCAGTAAATAATTCATTATAATTTTGATATAATGTAAATACATTGATTACCTAAACAAATAAGTCTGTGTTTCTGTGAAACAGACTTGAAATACTGGTGGTACTACAAGGAAAACATAGAGTTGAATGCTTTCTAAACAGTCTTTAAAGATATTCTTGGTTTTATTTCTTGTTACTTGTAAGAAAGATCTATTTTTGCTTTTTGTTTTGTTTTTTTTTAATTTACTATATTCCTTATCCACAACCTTCATTTGTAGCATTGTCATTGTACATCCTGGTTTGGTTGTTGCAAAATACACGTTCATAAAGGAGACATACACAACAATACTCTTTCATAATATTTATTTTTCAAGAGTTGTCAGAAATATTATAATGAAGAATAAAGGGGAAAATTTCTGCTTATAATCCTTTTCATATATTTGTTTATATTTATAAAGGACTATTCCTTTCAGAGGCTTCCCAAGAGAAGTCAGTGTCTGAATGATGATGCATCAGCGCTGCTTATGCAATTGAAAAAAATTAGGTTTAGAAGGTTATAACAAAGCAAATGAAAATACTTATATATGCCTGAAAAAATTGACTGGGATAAGTAGGAAGTCTGAAATCTATGAAAAGTAAAAACTACAATCGTTCTGTATTTTTATTTGCAACCTGCATCTGATAGGTCAAAGCAGGTTCAGTTTGATCCGTTGTGGGGCGATACACACCTCCCTTTTGGGTTTTGTAAAAACGTCACAGTCAGTGGGGGAGAAGAGGCCTTCTCAAGAGTGCGTTCTTATCGTTAGGATTTTAAACACTGATGCTAGAACAGCTTCAGAAACAGTAGGTTCCTGTAGCATAGTTTCTCTTCTTTCCCATTCTAACTTCTTCGTCTATAATCAGAAGTATATAATTAAGCCTAAAAATAAATCTTCCAGAAGGGAATATCCCAGAAATAGCCGTTCAAGGTCTTTTATGCCCAACTCCTGCTAAGATTTATGCAGATGATTAGCTTTAATGAAAGGGGAAGTACTGCTGAAATCAACGAAGCAGCTATGATGTGTAAGGGTTAGTTTGTGGGATCTGATCTGATTCCTGTTATACGCCAGAAGACCCCTTGCACAGTGTGCGGTAGGATTTGCACAGTAACATGCAGTTCGAACAGTGTGAGGAAATTGAGTTTGTCCTGTGAAGTTTTCTCATTTTTGAGATTCTGTTTTTACTTTTTGGAATGAGGAGCTGGTGGTTCTGTCAAGTCTCGTTGGAAGACAATAGTTTGCATATAGACTGTCGTTTTGAAAATTGTGTGTTTTCTTCTGTTAAAAGACAAATGCTGCAGTATTTTGTGCCCTAACAAGTCTTAGTACTTTGTGAGTTGGTTTACATCCTTCACTGTCAGTATATTAGTGCAACTCCTCGTAGTTCATGAAATTAAACGTATGTGTAGACACTTGTCCCAGTTTAGAAGTTAAATGTCATTGGTGTAATTTTGTGCTGTAAATATAGGGGGAATCTCAGTTAATGACCAATGAAATATAACAATTTCGTCAGGGTTCTGAAATGTGTGAAAAATGACTTTCACTTCACTATTCAGTGTCCTGCATTGTCTCAAGTGTTTGGTGGTTCTTTTACAGACAGGAATCTGCCTGATGCCCAAAGTAACCTTGGAGTATGGGGGGACGGCAAAGGTGAAGACGAGCTGTCACCTGAAGAAATACAAATGGTAAGTATATCTTGTGTTTTATCATCCATTTTATTATATTTTCTGCTGTATTCATATGTGTTAAGAAAGTACAGATTCAACCAAATTCATTATCAACTTTCATTTTATGCAGAATAATGCCACAACCTTGTGTACCTGGCTTCCTGGTTCTTCCGGTAACAGCTAATACTTAAAATTGCTACAAAATACTTACATGGAGCCACGAAATTAGCAACAGCTATTTTTCAACAAGTGAAATTAAAATTGTTTTTAAAATTACAATTATGAATTGCTTTTTTAGTCAGGAAACAATAGAAGTCAAGGCAACATCAGAAAAAGCATTATGAAGCTTTTGAAAGAATAAAGTGTGGGCCACTTTTTACTTCGACCATTTCTAGAACACACTGTTTAAGTAACTATGAAGTTATACTTCATTCTGTTCCCCCTTTTTTTTTTTTTTTGATTATCAAAATCAGATTGGTTTACTAGAAGGAATAGCTACAAGTTTTCTGTCACAACAGAATCTCACTGATTTTACCTTTTCTACATTTCCCTGTTATCAGCACACTTATGTATTGTTTGATCCAATTCTGCTTACAGTTGAACTGATATACTACAAAATTTCTGACATAGGCATGATTGCTGACAACCTGTTAGACTTTTTGATATTCCTAAAATTTAGGAATTTTTGAATTTTTTGAACATGGCTCAAAATTCATAGAAAACCTCTCTACATTAGCAGACATTGCCTTGTTTTACATAAAGAAAAACTGACATAACTAGCCAGTAGATGTGCAGTTTTCAAAATGGTGAGCTTTACTAAGGCAAAGGGTAGCTGCAGTATGAATATGTGAAGCTTCCTGGGCAGTGATTAGAGATGTTCCCAAACACAATACGCATCACTCTTCCTGTCAGAGATGAGTAAGTTGCACATAATTATGGTACAGTTTGTCAGAGAGAAAAGGTTCTTCAGAGGCTGCTCTTGACACTCTCATATTGTTCTTGAGTGCCAGCCTGAAATCTGAAGGCGTACTCCTGCTTTCTGTTTTCTTTTTAAAGATAATTCTTTACGTATTTTCATTATTCTGTGTTTAGGCACAATGTTATTAGACCCCTTCCAGAGGATCAGGAGGAAACAAGCATCAGAGGTGATGACTCTGATAGGGCTTAATAGTAACTGACTACTAAATGTTGGATTGCTTTTTGTAGGCCCCACACTGTAAGTTTTAAACATATTACATCCCTTGCTGTGGTACTTTAGGAATAAACACATTTCTTTTTCATGAAACCCTTTTATACTTCTTAGAGTGAGGCCCCAGATACCTCACGACTTCAATGAGTTGCTGAAGTCTGTGAGTTTTGTTCCATTTCTGTTATTGAGACTGAACAAAGATAAACATCTTAAAATGCTGATTAAGGATTTGAATTTTTCCCTGGAATAAGTTCTCTTCATTGACTTGTGAGGGGGAATGATTCCAGGCCTAAGTAAGAGAAAAATCTGTGTTCATAGTTTAATGCTTTGAAGGATTTCTAGAATCCTAAATCTCCAATCCTAAACTGCTTCCTGTTAGGCATTTGGACAGCTCTTCCTAGGGGAGAACCAACAGAGGTTTTTTAAAAATCCATTATTATTCTTTACCCATTCAGAGCTCTCCTGTGCTATGCTTTTTTTAATTTTTTCTATTTTTTTTTTTTAAACTTTTACTGGTTGTTTACTTCTGTTGTGCTTTCAGGAGTTGTACTTCCTGTGAAAAGGGGTATAAAAATAACACTGATGCTCCAAATTAAATAAACTTTTAGCTCGGACTAATATATATTGCCTTTTTCTTAGCTTCTGCCTATAGTTTGCAAGAAAATGTATGGTATATAACAATGCCTTGATGTCAGTGCCATGATTAAGCCTAGAAAAATGACTTGTGCTGGAAACTTTAGATCTCAGCTTTATCAGTCTGCTCTGTGGGAAAAGAGAGACAAATTTACTAGTCTGTTTAGAGAAGCAGAAGATCAAAATGCTACCAACACAAAAATAACATACTTTGAAGTCCTATATGTATATTAATACACTGAAATATTATTGCTGCTCTTGTGCCATAGCTTATTCTTCCATGTGTGAATTTACATTTAAAATGTATTTTTATGTACTCTGAGTACTTGTGTTTTAGTACAGGTAGTAGGAAACTAGAATTGAAAAAAGCATGTGAAGGGAAATTACCACTAGAACAGTCTCCTCTGCTTATAATTTATTCTAAGTTTTGCAGAATGCTGGTTCTGAGCTGGATGTCTGAATCTCCTGTTGAATCTTGCTGTGGTTCTGATCTCGCGCAGAGCTTTCTCTCCTGTTGTACCTCACTGCAGGCTGGCAGTGTGACCACCGGTAGTCAGGGCTGTCTGTATCTCAGCTTCTCACACTGACTACGAGTCTGTGGTTCTGGTGCTCTTGTGAAGAAATACAGGGTTGCTTCCTACCTCTCCTAAAACTTCACAAGCATCAGCTACTTCCACATTATGCCTTGGAAGGAGTCTACATTTACTATGATTTAAAAGTGAGTCAGCATTCATGGCAGTGTTAATAGAGACTTTTTTTTCTTTCTCCACCAGTTGTCAAGTAGAAAACAAGCTGATTGTTTCTAGTTACAGTTAATGCCCCCCAGTGAGGGTTATTTCTTGTCAGGTAATTTTTTTTACTGTTATATTGGATTGCATATTATTGGAGTTGTCAAACTGTAAACAGAGAGTTACATATTTCTGTAATATGTATGTGTGTACAGCAGGGTTTCAAAGGTAAATGTTGCCATTAATATATTGATGCTCAGAGCTGAGCAAGCCATCGCTCTGTTCTGTGGACCTAATGTGATTTTTTTTTTAGGGTTTTTTTTTTCATTTTATAAATGCTATAATTAGCTAATTTACAAAGGCTAGGGATGTATGTGGTGACTATTCCACAGCCAAACTGCACTTTCAGTGCATTTTTGAGGAAACTTATAGCTAAGAGTTGGCCTTTATTAGTGAAAGTTGGATACTATATAATTTCACTACTAACAGACTTTAAAGTCACTGGAGCCATTATTCTAATTTTCAGGTAAATTTGGTTCTAAGGTGTAAATATAGGTGTAACTAGGAAATAATTTGAGTATTTGAATGTGCACTGCTTTTTTCATTGGACACATAAATCCGTCATACTAACTTGGCAATATTTAATGACTTCATTGTGCTTTTAACGCGGGAATCAAAGGGTCTTTACAAAGGCATAACAAACCCTCACAGCTTTAGTTAATTTATTCACTGAAAGGACAGTTCATTATTTCTCCTCTGCATTATGTTTGCTGTTACAGAGAAGTTAATTTCTACTTTTTGAACATTTGGTTTATGAAGCGTGGACCAACTGCATTTAAGTTACTCAGAAAATCCAGCAGTTCTCAGAAGAGGGTAGGTTACAGCGTAGAGATTGCTGCGTTGGTTTTAAATTGGAATGTGTTGTGTCAAATCATACTTAACAATTTTCAGTCATGGTTCCATGATCCTTCCTGTGGGTAAAATAATGAATTAAAGCCCTATCATATTGCTACAGCAGCAATTTCTGTCAGTATTTTACCCACAGGAGAGCGCTTTACATTGTTCAAAATGGTTTCAGGCTATTGTATGATTTGCACAATAAATTTCAGTTTATAACCCGGAGTACAGGTATACTAATGGCTTTTATAGTTATTGTGAGCAGATGTCTTTTGGTTGCATTGAGTGGGAAAAAAATCTGGCTCTGCTGTTTGAGTTGTGAAAATACCTAATTTTCCCTGACTTTATCTTTTTTGTTTGGTTTTGTCCTAACTTCAGGTACAGTACATATAATGACTTATCTCATGGGATAACAAAAAAGAACTGTGATTATTTCTTCTGTGCATTAGATTTTTCAGACATATCTTCAGCAGTTTGTCATTTTGTGCCATGCTTTGGTAACAGAGTATTTTGCTGTCATAAAAGAGGCTACTTGAATAAGCCGTAAATCATTGAGCTACAGTGATTGCTAGAGTTTGGTTTATGTTCCCATCATGTAAATCCCTTTGTGACACACTGGTATATATGAGATGTGTTCTGCGCTCTAACCTTTTGTTCAATTGACTGTTTTAGCATATCTTACTGCTGTCTGTGCCAAGCAGTCCATCAGCCATGATTTCAAATTGCAAAGATCATTTAGCAGTTTAAAAGGCAATCCGTGCCAGTGGAGGGTTTTAAATATCAAAGGGACTTTTTAAAGAATACTTTCTCATGTGGATTTATGTTCTTTGTAAGGGATTAAAATCATTCACTGTTTCTTTATTGAAAATTTGCCTTCTAAATTAGTTATCATCTCAGTTTTACTAAGGCAGCAAAATAGGGAGTTTTTGATGTTGAGCATTTGTGCAGAAATACTTACCCTTACAGAAGTCAGAAAAACAATTACAGCTTGCTGGCCCCATTTAGTCACTTAAGGACCAACCAGTTGACTCAGTGCTAACTCTCGTGGCTCTGTTTCATTGCTGAAACACCTTTAACCATCCGCCGCCGTGAAGTAAATATCACTCTATTAGTCAATTATATTTTAATAAATGCTCTGCTCTGTAGGAGACACTATAGACAGCAGTGACAAAGACATTTGAATGTATTCCAACACTAACAGTTTTTTATTTAACAAAACCGTTGGATCTTTGGGGTGGAAATCAGTGGGACTTGAGGGAGCTGTGTTATATGTTCCCCTTTGTTCCCCCTTGACCCGTGGGGTTGGGCTCCTTCCCCGAGGCCTCTACCCCACAGTGAAGGTGACAGTGCCCAACAGCCCTCCTCCTCATCTGTGACCTTGGACTCTGGAGTCCTTTAACCAAGGAGAGAGAGCTGTTCTTGCCAATCGGGTAGGTAGTGAACCTCCAGTACAAAAAGAAATTTGTATTTTAAAAGAAATTAAAAAAATCACTTTTCATTATTCTTTATGACTTAAATTACCTATGTCAGAAGACTAAACCTTTTTCTGTGAGATTCACTGTTACCCTTCTTTAAACATACCTGTCATTTCACACTTGCTTCTTCCAAATTAAACCTACAAATTTCTGATTTTTAACACGCTAACCATTTTCCCCTTAAGTCATGCAGGTTGACATTTAATTTGCTATTGGCAGAAAGTCAGGTACTGTTTCTCTGTAGGCCCTGATGGGCCTGAAGCAAGATGAAAAATGTTACAGCACAAAGTGTGGGGGACAGTGGCAATGGTGTGGGGTGTGAGAAGGAGGGAAGGAAGGTGAAGGGTATGAAAGGTGGTTTGCCTCTTCTTGTGTTCTTGCTTTTCTGTGTTGCTCTGTGGCAGTGCAGAAGTCTTGCTCGGCTCCTGCTATCTACTCTCCCTTAAGCCAACCCTATCGTCTGGTCCTGTGGTGGGATTCAGTTTACTGATCTACCAGAAGACTCAGGAGGAGAAAGTGGTTAGTGAGCTAAAATGTCATACGGCGAAGTCAGACGAGCAGCAGCACTTGCTTAGGACTGTGTATGTGGGGAGAGAGAGGAGCAGGACAAATTCCTCGGTGGCTGCACTAGATCTTTTTCACTTCACCCCAAGTAGTATACACACTTCATTTCTTCTCTGTGTTAGTATTATGAAAGTACTTGACGTGGCAGAAGTTTCAACTGGAACATTCTGGATCATTTCAAGGGATGCAAACATCAGCATCTGAAGCAATGCGCACGAGGAGTTGCACAAGCTGTATAAGGAAGATCTTCCAAGACCTGGGATAGAGATGCTGGTGGCACGATTGGGGCAGGGTGGGGTTCACAGCGGTGAGCCAAAGGTCATCACCAAACATAGCAGCATAACAACGTTAAATTTACGTACTCCTACAGACTGGCTTTGTGAAAGAAACTGTGGTCCGGTTAACTCTATGTTGTATTACAGCCATTTATTTTCATGTTGCATCTTGATGATGAACTGCACCGTTGTTTAAACTACTTTGCAATACTAAGTGCTTAATTTTCAGCTATTTTCAGTAGCGCTGCTCTAAAAGCAAAATGCCCATTTGCCTTTCACTGAGGTAACATGACCCTCATTGTTATCATAATTCTCTGAGATTCAGACTTTTTCCCCCTCCTTCCTTCCTGCTGCTTTTTGCACAAGATGATAGTCATTTTCAAATACTTACTATCTTCTCTGGGCAACACCTCCTTTTCTTGCACGCTTAAGCATTGGGCGTGTGCTCAGATAGTGAGCAATTCCTGTTGCACCGACTGAAAACCAAGTCTGGCCTGTAAGCAGTGGTGCTCTGTGGCGTTTTCATCTTTGACATCACACTGCTCTGTCTTAAAAAGGATAACAAGACCTTGCAAGGTGGCTGAGAGGACTGCTGCGCTTTTACTGCTAAGGAAATTGTAACATGATTGAATTACGCAAAACTCCCAGCGTGTTACATAGGCTAGTTCAAAATAAGGAGACTAACTGAAGTAGAACAGGCCTTGCTGTCTTGCACAGCTCCTGTGTCAAGTTCTTTGCGTTCTGAACCCTGTCTTCTGGTATTTGCGCTGCTGCATGTATCACTCGGGCTTGCCAGAGGCACGTAGCAGGTCGTGTTTTCAGTAGAAATGTATATATCCTGTGTGCTGTTTCTGTATAACCGCGTAAACCGGGTCTTTCCCAGCTCTGTGAGAAAGCTGCAAAGATCTTGTCAGTGGTGTCCATACTGCAAAGGTCCAGCTGTTACCGAGGCTTCGGCCGTGTAGAATTAATTGGCAGAATACCTTGAGTACGCTTCCCCTCATTCCCCCAGAGCTTGTGACCCTTCCGATGCGAGGTGCTCTGCTGTCCCTGAGGGCAGGAGCCTTTCGGCTGGGGCAGGCCGCAGCGCTCCCCGAGCGCGTGCTGCCCGGATCCCGGTGGCCGTGGGGCAGGGAGCGGCACGCTGCAGGCCCCCTCGTGCTTTTAACCAGCCGTAGCTGGCTGCCAGCCTGCAGGATCGAACTCGTCCGGGCACCTTGGAAATCCCAGCTCAGTTTGTCCTAACGGGTTCTCTCTAAAACAGAGTCCTTATGACGTGGCTTCCAACAAACTCCACTACGACATGGGACACTTTTCTCAGCTGTATTTTGGCTGTGCAGATTTTGTTTCAGCAAATCGTGTCATCGTACTTGCTGCGTGATCACTTGTTCTGTAATGAATCCCAAATGATCTGACAGTCAAGTACATCTAAGCAGTCAAAGCTTACTTTCCTGTATAAAGTCATCTTTTTATGCTTGCATTTTGAAAAATGTAGTGCTAAAAGTATATTTAAATGTTTCATTGATTTACTTACGAGTTTTAAGTGGAAGAGGTCTGCTGGAATAACTAAAACCAATGCATTTCTAAAGTATGAAGTACTAGATGTCAAGATATTTCATACTGTAGCAAAATCTGAAAGCTCTTAACTTCATGCCATGGGCAGTACATGAATAATGTGAATGACAGTGCAAAGATATCATGAAGAGAATCACATGCTTGCACAAGCATGAAAGCTTCCCCCACTTGAATTTCTAAAATAATAAAAAGGAGATTTCATCCACTATATTTTTCCTTGCTGCAAAGTAACTTGAGCAAAATCTTCAAGTTATTTGGGGGTTTGTTTCATTAATGTGAAGAGAACGACAAGTGGTACAGTGACTGGTTACAAATAAGCAGATTCATATTGTTCATTTAGGCCAGTATTAGTAATTCTTGAAGATCTTTTTAGTTGAGACATATTGTAAATAGACTGCAAGGAAGGGTGGAAGGTGGTTGATCGGGGTGGGGGTTGAAGAAAGTTCCCCGAGTCCAACCATGTGAGCTCATGTGTGTGTTTTGCTTCCTCCCTTCTAGTTCGAACAGGAGAACCAGAGACTTGTTGGTGAAATGAATAATCTCTTTGATGAAGTCAGGTACAATTTTCTGTTACTTGACAGATTGCTGCGCGTGCCGGTCCCATAACCCAGGCAACACCCGCACGCAGTGCATTTGCTGCAGGCCACCCGGCTGCGTCAGTTGTAGTGGTGTGGTAGAAGGGACGAAACCGGAGCGCTCAGGAAACAAACTCTACGAGTTTACACATTGTGCTGTCCCACAGTGTAAGGGATGGTTCTGAGCAACATACAAACTACCCAGAATAGTGCTGGTTAAATTTGGAAGGTTTACGTTCTATCTCCCTTATCTGAGTTTTAGAAGATTAGGTTTTCCACTTATCTCGCGCTGTCCGCTGCACAGACAGACGGCGGTAGGGGAGGTGCAATCACCGCCCCCCCCCAGAGACCCGTCTTTATGGCAGGGCTGCACTGCCGTTTGCTCTCTGCTTGCTGTGCAGAAGACCCGAATGGCTAACTCAAGCTAGAACTTTACTTTTGGATTATTAGTACTAGGCAAGGTGAATTCCACACTTCACAGTCGCATATAAAAAGGATATGTCAAAACTAAGTACTTAGGGTCCACCATCGATTTTGTCGTATTACATGGAAGAAGGAGGATAGCGTGAAGCCCTTGCAGTGAAGGCTGCTATCTGAGAATTTCCGGGTGGTGCCTTTCCCAGAGCTCCACTGTGGGCCGGTTGTCTTCCAACCAGGAACTGTCAGAGCACTAATTACAGGCTATTGCCGCACAGTGGACAGCTAACAAAATAGCCGTGCCTTCTGAATAGCCCGCTTAGTGGGTTGGAGAATCTGAAACTGCAGGAGCGAGAAATGTTTGCCCTAGTTTCTAACAAGAGTATTTCTGTTCTTTGCCAAGACAAATTGAAGGAAAAGTGGTGGAAATCTCCAGACTACAAGAGATATTCACTGAAAAGGTCTTGCAACAGGTTAGTATAACTTAATACTACAGCAGCAAATACAGCTTGCGGACTTTCTTGGGGCTATTTTCGTCTTGGTTGCATGCAAGATGTAACCATAAGATTAATGAATCTTTGATGCAAATGTGAAGGAAAAGATTTTTTGTTTGTTTTTCAAATGCAAACTCGAGAAATTTACTTATTAGTATGTACTGGGAATGGAAAATGCAACATATGTGTTAGAATAATCCCTCTGCCTCAGAATTAGTGTCCTGTTAAATGTCTTATTTAACATCTTTTCTGTAAATGGTGGCACCTCTTCCAAAAGAGCTGGCAAAAATTAGACAGCTTAGATTTCATGCTAGATAAATGGGAGACTTCCTACTGATCTTGGTGGTCTCCATTCAGGCTCATAAAATCACAGGTAAAGAAATTACAACTTAATTTCCTCTATGCCTTTGCATCATTGAAACTAAGATGTTAATAATACCAGATTTTATTTTATATTTGAGTTCTGCTTGTTCTCCAAATCCTTGGAAGTGTTGGTAGATGTGATGAGTGAGACCAAAGTCCCTACAATTCACCACTGTTTCATTTTTTTTAATAGGAAACTGATATTGACAATATCCATCAGTTAGTTGTGGGTGCAACAGAGAATATCAAAGAAGGCAACGAAGACATAAGAGAGGTAATGTCTCTAAGTTGTGTGTTAAACTCGTTTCTCTTAACTGTGGCAAAACTCAGTTTTGCCTAGGTGTTGCTTTAAACAGCGTGTGTGAGCTCACCTACGGTACAGGTGCAGCGTGTGTTGGGGTGACAGGACACGATTTTGGAAAAATTGCACAAGTTAGCTAAGGCTCTTAATAGTTTGCATTGCGTGTCTTGCTGCCCGGGATCTGAACAGCTGATGGGTCTGCAGACACCTACTTGGCCTCACCTATATTTTAAACATGAAGGTCACCTGGCATGCATCTACGCACCTGTGCAGTTGAAACAATGACTGAAGATTGTGGGGAGAAAAAGGAGTGAGGGGGGGGGGGGGGGGGGAGGGGGAGAAATTGCAGACCCAAGAATAAAAGATGGTGCTGAAACTGTTGAAACTGGAGTTAAATGCTGAGCATTAGCAGAAGAGTCTCTACCATGCTGAATGCATTTCACATGCTCCTAGTAAACAAATCTATCCCATTGTCTTACTAATTAGAATGAAATTATGTTTTATTTCAGGAATTTGAGATTTCAGTAAAAACAGAGTTCCTAAATTAGGCCACTGAGTAGATGGCTCGGTTCTTTTTTTTTTTTTTTAACTCCCTTCTGAAAGCACACAGAATACATAACTCAAGGATGAGTTATCTACTGCTCGGCTCTCCTGGAAAGTGCATCAGACATACATTAGCAAATGTAACTTAGGGACTTCTGATTTGGAACTTATTTCTACATTTCTTCAAGTACAGTAGAATATCTAGAGTATTCTTTTCAGTAGCTGTCCAACAGGCATGGTGGTATGGCACATGGTGGGGAAGACTTTCGGGTTTTTTAGACTTAAATCAAATCAATAGATTTACTAATATTTAGGATACAGTTACTATGCCTTTAAATCGTGATTCTTAAGCACTTTGGGGTGCTTGGGGAGGGTACACAGACATCAGCTGATCATCCCAGTGTTCACAGAGGTTGGTATTCAAAACCATGGCGTGAACTGAAGTTATTTTTGCTTCATTTCTCACATTTGTAGGTAGAACTAAGTTTCCTAAACCACAGTGAGAAACAGTAGAAAAAGGTGATAAATACAAAACCTTTGTCAGTCACATTAATGTTTGTATTGCATTAAAAAAAAAAAAAATCTATTGCATGTATAAATCTGAAAAATGAGAGAGAAAAACCAGTCCTCTGCTATATGGCAGTCTCAATTTTGGGAAGGAGAATAAAAAAAAAAATACCTGCAGTACTTGCTTCTTGCTCTGCTTGTTCTGAGACTGAAATACGTGTTTGACAGTGCTAAATCAAACTCCAGAAATAGTTGTAAGGTTTTGGTTCGTGGGGGGGTTTATTTATTTATTTTAATTTTTATTATTATTATAAGTCAGAAGATGTTTATTAGAATGATGAAGGCCTGATTTTTTTCTAATCACAGAATTTCCCTTTTGGAACTTAAAACTAACATTTAGGCATTTAAGTTTTGATGTAGTTCTTAATGTTTTGAGTGTATTTCCACTGTGTGGGATCTTGAATTTTTTTGTTGGGTTTGGTTTCTTTAAATGGCCAATTTAAAGATTTTATGAGAAATTTAGTGTGATAAATCTAAAGAGAGATAGCCAATCTGACACTTACTCACCTGAAATTAATGGCAAATTTTGTTCTTTCTTGCGGGAGGGAAGAGTGAGCCACTAACAGTCATCTTGGGTTGCCGTGTTGAAATTCTACTGTATGTTTACTGGTGATGGTAATGGCGATAACCTTTTCCTCACAGGCCATCAAAAACAATGCTGGATTTAGAGTATGGATCCTGTTCTTCCTTGTGATGTGTTCATTTTCTTTGCTTTTCCTGGACTGGTATGATAATTAATTAAAAATGTAATACTGTCTACATGCTTTGTTTGTAAAACTTTTGACTTTTGACTTTTTTTTTTTTCAGTGGAGTGGGGCGTACCTGTATATTTTACGCATTTTTTTCATACTCCTATGATGAAGTATTTTCCACTAAATAAGCACATGTATATATCCATAGTGCAGAGGGAGTTGATAGCATTCATTTTAAATCCCTCTATTGAACATAAAACCACACTTAATCCTGCAAATAACATAGAAACTTTTGAAAGAGCTTTCTTACCAGCTACAAGCTGGAACACAGCTAACAGAAGAAAAAAAAAAATGATAACTGTTTTATCACAGTCACCCACACATCTGTGATGCTTAAGAGTTCAGCTCCCAGGGCACAGACCAGATCAAGAGAAAACTGTTACTATGCAAAAGCATCTGCGCTGTCTCAGGCTTTTACTTAATCACACCACTTCAGTACATAGTGATCATTTTGCACATGTATGACTTCCACTTCTAATCCTTGCCTGAGTCAGAGATCAGGCTGATTTAATAATGATGATAATAATGATAAAAAGTCAACTAAAGAGATTTCCTTCTAGGTGAAAAGAGAGAATACAACAGAAACAGATTGTGCAGTGAAACAGATGTTCTGGGATGTCGGAACAAAGCCAAACTCTTCAAAGCACTAAAATTGGGAGCTATTTGTTAACTAAAAAAAAAAAGTCTCAAAACCAACTGTAAATAAGAATCAATAAACTCCCTCCTGTTAAATCAGAGGAAGAAAATGGTTCCGACTTCAAGAAGCATAAGCAATCTGTTTCTCTTAGATTGTAAAGCTTAGTATTTTTAAATGTTTATTGTTGAGAGAGAGAGAGAGAGAAATAAGTTGTTTCTCAGAAGTGTTTACTTGTGCATTCAAGTTTTTATTGTCCTGAATTTAAGGGGAGGGGATGTACCATGAATTGTTTCTATGTAGGACAGTCTTGGGGAACAGATTTTTCTGTCTTGTAAAATCTGAATGTCCTCTGTAAATATGTTGATATGAAATGTGTGTTTTGCTATCTCTCTGAAATGTATATTTCTACACATTATATGCAACAAGCAGCACCATCCTTACGCTTTACTCTGCGCAGAGTGAAAATGTCAAAAGTTACATGTGAATTAATTACATTCAATAAAGCATATGCCTGTTAGAAAATGCAAACATAGTTATGTTTTGAGTATCTTAACACAAGCTTGAAATTTTTAAATGCAAAGAAAAATTTGGCACATAATTTATTGCTTTTTATGCCTTCCACATACCATAATGACTTAATAAAAAGCCTTCCACAGATATTACTGTGTAATGCACATTCATATCAAACCGAGAGAAGTGAGTAATAATGGCTATTTTTACTCTACTGTTGATAAAGCAGTTCTACTGGAGAAGAAATAGAAGTAGAGCTGACCATGTTTGTTCTACTACAGATCTTGAGAAACAGCCCATACTGATGTTTTCACTTCAATTTTGTATAGTGTCTACCAAAAAAAAAAAAAGGTAAACTTTTGACATGTCCACTACAACTTGTCCCATTCAAAGTGACTTGCTTGCCCAGATGCTTCACACACTGAATGTGTCTGATGTCTTTTTTTGTAACATATTTTATAATAAAAATGAAAACATGGTTTCACATCAAGAATAGATAAGTTTGTAATTACAATGGAACTTGAACGTGCATCCACAATACTATGTTCTTCTACATCTTTTCCCCTCCCAAGCCATACATAAACAGTTCTACTCTTCAGTTTCACATATAGCTTTAAAATAGCCAGTTGTGTTATCTAATATGCTATTGTTTCACTTGTGATGCTCTGTTTTAAAAAGTATCAAACCGTAAGCCATACGTAAACTGAAACCTCTTTCCAATTAATAAAAAAGGAAAATGTTAACGTAATGAAAGAGACAATGTAGATACATTACTCCCTCTGTCGTATCCAACAACTTACATAGTGGACTACACCTACTGTGAATAGGCTTTCTGCCTCTTAAGTATGATCAAAAGATGTTGTTTCTCATTAGAACATCCTGAACTGTGTATTTTTCACACTATCCTCAACATCCATCACTAAAACTGTCTGTGTTTTTCCATAATCTCTACCTAGTTTGTGTTTCAGTGCTATCCTTACCAAGATGCTAAAGCCACAGTGGAAATGCAGTTAAATCCTGTTGACAGCAGTAATAAAACATTGAGCATGCCTTGTTGCAAAGAACTTCATTATCACTTACAAATAAACAACAGTAAAGAAAATGTAAGAAAAATGCTACCTGACAGTTTCTTTCTCCACACAAGTCATTACATTATGCCCTTGACATCAATGCTGACTATCATTCTTGCTGGAGCCAAAACTAACTATAAAATATAGCATTCAGCTAAACAAGAGATCACTCTAGTTATGGCTGAGGTGTTTCAGTTTGCAAAATGACAAAGAATAAAAGAGTTAATAAATAAAGTATCAGTTCAGGCAACAGAACACATGATTTATCTAAGGTCTAAGCCCTGAAAATCCGGCGAAGAAATCTGTCAGTATTCAGTAAACGGCAAGAACATATCTAACATTGGATTTTTTTTTTTTTTAACATTGAAAATGGTGTCAAAGCTCTAAAGCAATGCTGATATGCACCTTGTTTTATGCCCATGAATGTTCTGCAGCAAGGTTTTGTTTTGGGTTTTGTTGTGGTTTTTTTTTTTTGCGAAGCAGTATCAGCAAACAGAAGCAATTGCACCATAAACATGAGTAACCTCTAAATTATCCATAATTATATTTAATGAAAAGTTCCTTAAAGTCCCTTAGTTACCTTCAAATGACATAGTGTTAATAATTAGCTTATCATACTAAGCTGATTTCTCAGCGGCTTCAGTCTCCTGTTCAGATAGTTTCTCTTCTGACAGTACTGTCATCCACGGCGACACTGAGCGCGTGATGGTTTGTTTGGCCAGATTGTAGTGGTTTATGACCGTGTAAAATTTCCCTCGAGCACTGGAGTCTTGTTCAGAGTAGTAGTTTTCCAACCCAGCTGGAATGCATTGATTATTCTGAAAAGAAAATTCATCACTTAGATTACGGATACGGTCCCATACACACCACAAGTAGATTAGGGTGGTTTTTTTTTTTTTCTTCTTTTCCTTTTAGTCTAAGCCAGTGTTCGCTTTCTGTGAGTCAAGTTGCAACACAGAGCAATTAACTGCAGCGTTATCCTACTGTGTTCAAAATGCAACCCTTAGACTACTCGTGTATTTGCCAGGAAGACCACTCTGGGTTTATGTGCCAGAATAATTAACATACAAGAAACATGCTTGCCTAAAATTATTTTTAGAAGTACTCAATCTCCAGTTCCAGCCATATTTTGCTGGTTTTTTTTCCTCCCCACCTAGTTCCAGCTGTTTGGTCTACAATTACAGATGTCTGTATCATACTGTTAGAGTAGCTTCAGGCACTTTAACAGTGTTTTCAGTCTGAGGGACAGAAATTAATAGAGATATACTTATGCCAAGGTATGAACACTTTTATAGCCCAGTAAATAAGCCATACAGGGAAAACAGTGTGGGTGGCCAAGCTTATGTGCAAGTGCACACACACATGTACAAAAAATACTTCACTCTTGATTGCCAGAAAGTTGTAGCCAACAGCAGGCTTTTAAAAGCTATCTTTAGCTGTAGGACTACATTATTTAATTTCCCAGAAGTGTAAGAGCACTACATAGAAACTGCTAGATGCTCAGAGCTTTTGAAAGTGAAATACCTGATTTAGAGAATTAAATACGAAGTAGGAACCAAACTTTGCCATTATCTTAAAAACCAAAGGGAATGTGCACGTGCAGTGCATTAGTCAGCAAGCATCATCTCGCAACCGTTCCGGTGATGATGCAGTATAAGCCTTCGGAGCAGCTAGTTGCACTGAAGGAAAAAAATACTTAGAAATATCCTGTGACACCCCCCCCCAGGTTTTGCTCCAGGAGGTCCCGGGGTCTTCTCCACAGGTCCTCTGCTGTATCTGCCAGTCCAGGCGGTCTCGCCTGATACCGCAGGGTGCTGGGGCAGCCACTGGGACAACTGAACCGACCCTCTAAAATGTAAGCTATGAGTAGCTGCAGCTTGAGGAAAAATAAGTTTAATCATTTCTACTCTGACTGTTTTAAAAAGAAATAGGCTGTTCAGTCTTCCTGCTTCTAGCACCGAAAGACTAAATTTTATAATACTATAGCACAGCAACTTCAAACCGCTACTGTTCTCATAGAACTTGGCAAACGAAACTTGATATTGGAAATTCCTGAGCACAAAAACACATGCAAAAATGTCATGGTTTTTAGGACCAGCTGCTCTCTCAAATGTGTCCACACTTACTTTTGGGTTGACTCTTGTCCTCATCAAAAAAAAAAAAAAAAAAAAAAAAAAAGAGAGAGATGTGGCATAAATAAGCACCAGTAACACCAGTTTCACATGGTTTAAATCATAAAGCACAAAATGACTGGGGGGAAGGTCCAGCAGATGGTCTTGGCTTAATATAAATGTTGCATCCTAAAGATGTTATAGTGAAAAAAAAGCATCAAAAGGCATGAAAGAAAAAAGCAAGACTTGCCAAAACAACAGGCCTACAGGTAGTCTTATGAACCTGCCTGCCCCCGATGAATGCACTCTTGTGGCGGATTTGGCTGCTGAAAGAGGACTCGGCTGTCACACGATTAACAGTCCTCCCATGGCGCTAACACCTTGTCGGGTCTAACCTGCTTGTGTGACAGAAGCCTCGACGTGTCAGACTCACAATGGCGCTCAAAGTTACCACATCCACCCAGGTTCAGTTTATTTGTTATCTTTTTGTAGCAGCCAGGGCACATCTTCCCTCACAGTTTTGTCTGAAGTAGCACTACAAAGCAGGCGGGATTCACCCCCGCTACGCAGACACTTGTGCCTGTTCAGCACTGTTTAAGTCAACAGAGGTTTCCCCATGGTCATAGTCATCGTATATGCCAGCTGCAAGACTGGGACCTAGATTTTAGAAAAAAATAATCCAGGACAACTCTGGAATATAGCTATTTGATATACATGTTCGCCTACATCAACCGTGCCATCTTCTAGAAGTATTATCCATGCTTTATCTGGGATAACTGACACTATTTCCGGTGTGAAAAAAACCGACTAACAAGTACATACACACAGACATCTCTGTAGTGATTATTTCACCCAGTCAGGGGATGTAGTCACAATTCTAAATATTTAAATGGGGGATGGAACACAATCCATTGATCTAATGAAATCTGCCAAGGAAATTCAGGAAGACAAGCCAAGATTACTGCCAGGCTAAAAAAAAAGCCACAGATCTTTTGTTGCTTTTAGAAGCAATTTGCTTTGTAACAGGCACAATGACTCAGTAATGTTATTTTTTGTAGTCACAAACATGCACAACATCTGACAGAAGAGCCTAACGAAACAAACAGCAGAGTTTCCGTCTTGACTGCATTTTTGCTCCTGGGATTTCATGCTTCCAGAAAAGACGGGAAAAACCTCCCCTTGTACTCACTGTTCCCTGTGTACTGCCCAAGGACAGCCCCCTTTCCTTAGCTCCTAATCAAGGCAAACCATGCAGCCCTCGGGAGTGACTGAGCGATGGGAACTGGTGGGGATTCTCATCCTGATGCTAGCCTGAGACCTTCAGCTTATGCAGAACATTTCTCTCCATCCTTTTGATTTGTTCCCATGGTTCCCAGGTAAGAGAAGTAATAAGGAAGGCCACGAGGAGAAACTGGGATGCTCTGGAGTGAGTTGCCAGTCTTTTGTTTCTTTCACAACCCTGCTATTTCAGAAATTAGTCATGGGTTAAGGCTGCTGATGCCAGAGAAAATCCTGGTTGCCAGTCTATATCTGGCTGTATTAAGATGACTCCTTTTGTTCGTATGACATATAGACCCCACTGCTGTTCACTTATAAATAGTATCTTCTGTCACATTAACTTTGCTGGGTCAGTAATTCCAAACTTAATAGATGCTGCTGTTGTCTTTAATGCATTGAAATTACTTTGTTGTACTGTCCATGAGTCTGACAGAATGTAGGTGCCTTGGCAACAAAAGCTGAAGGGTAACAGATACAGTATGGAGCTTAGTGAAGCCCTGCAGAAATTCCTCCAGGATGTAAGTAAGTGCACTCAGATCTTTGAGGAAAACTCCATTGAGTCTCACCAACAGCCAGTAAAGAGCACTTCAGAGGAGTGCTCTGCACAACAGCAGTATTAGGGCTGTGTCAGAAAGCTTGAGCAAGCACAAAATTGAGGCTCAAGCAGCGTAAGACTGCTGTGCAAAGGAAAATAAGCACCTTTTTAAGCACACCTTTAAGCCCTAGATGCATAGGACAGCAGAAAGGCTGAAAACACTGAAACCTTTGGAACTGCTCCATGTATGAGAGCATCAAAGCAGAGAAGAGCGAGTCTGACTCACAGCTGCAGTAGCTCAGCCTTTATGCAGAGATTCCCATGGCACCAGGCTTCCTGCGGCAGGAGACACCTTTGCCCTTAACGAGGAAATCACATCAGCATCCAAAGCCTGGGAACATCCAGGCCAGAGAACATCATTGAGTCCACCTGAAGCACGAAGCCAGTCCAGAGAGACGTTGGTCACAAGGTGACAGACGACTTCATCACTCTTAGGACATCTGTACCAAGCTATGCCGTGACATACAATGGACTCTCCGGAAAAAAAGATGCAAAGGCAACAAATACAAATTCATGTCAACACTGGTAGTTTTAGGCCTTGTGTCAGTTGTTAATGTGTCTATCCTGTAAAACTCTTGAAGAGTTACAAGACCAAAGATGCTATGTCTCCTGGCATTATGCCATCAAGCAGTTAGGAAACAGGCTCCACAAAACCCAGCACTGGGAGAGTAATGGTAATGCAGCCCTGTGTGTGTGCTGCACCTTAAAAACAAAGCATGAGCTACGGGACGTTCTGCCCAACCTCTGTTTCAAGCACAGGGCCCTAAGGAGAGAAACCCAACCGGATTCTGTTCACGGTGCAACTGAAATATAGCTAAGAAACTGTTCTCCCCTTAACTGTTTGTGACACTAGGAAGAAAAGACAAAAGAATCCAGAAGACTGCAACTCAAAGGAAGGGACAACGTGGTATGAAAGGAGGCAGAAGCAGCAGACTGTTACTAGACTTAGACAGGAGCACGTAACTGGCCATTCCAGTCAAGTCAGGGTTATATCAGGATAGGCTTGGTAGGAACATCCAGTCCTTATTCCAAATTGCTCAAAGCCAAGAGAAAGCTTCGGAAAAAAAGCTTATGGTCCCATGAGACATGAGCACAGCAGGGTTTCAGTGCTTGTCTGAGACAACACAAAAAACCAACAGCAGAACCAAAAGCTGGATCTCCCAAGTTACAGCCAAATATTCTAACCACAGTATCTTTTGCCCTTGAACCAAGGAAAAGCAGTAACCTAAAACTGAATGCCTGGAGCCAAACTAATCCAGCAGGGCATCACTGATTGTAACTTTGGACTAGATTCTTGTAAGATATTTATGTGCCTGAAGTGACAGAATCAGAAGTCCTGAACAGAATCGTGAAGGAGTGCTGAGGCATCCATTCCTTCTGACATCCTTTTGAAGATCATACGAGGTACCCATTTGATTCATTACATGACTAAATATTCTTAAAAAATTAGAGGAAAGAATACCATCATCACTGCTACTTTTCTTATCTGATTACAGCTAAGTTCAACACTGCTGAATTTGCAACTGAGAAATCAGTGTAACCTTCCTGACTTTCAGCCCAGGTCACAGCTGAGGAGCCAGCGCTATCACCTCGCACGAATGAAGTGAGCCCCAGCCTCCCTTTCAGTTAGCACCAGTATTTTTTCCAATAAATGTGTTTTCCCTTTTTTGGCATCACTTCTGGCCTGAGGTCACTGTTCTAGAACAAGAAGTTCTTTCTACAAAAATAACGTTAAGGTAACTCTGCTTCTCTTAATGAGAACATCACTCTACTGTTTCTTTGACACATATTCCAGAGTAATTTTTTTTTCCTCCAGGTTTTATCATTCTCTTCTTTCCTAAGCAACATGAATTTGGAGGAACATGCAACGTTAAACTGTGTGACCCGATAAATGAGGGCTTTCTCCAGACAACTGCAGATGAAGTAGGTTTGAAGGACACTGGTGTTGGGACTTTTGCTGTATTTTCAATGTTTAAACCATTAGCAAAGTAACAACATTATGAAAATTGTGCAATAGTACAACTTCAATTATAAATTAAGGAGAAAGAAACATAGCAGGAAGCACACTAACCAATGAAAACAAACACAAATTTCTACACAATATGGCATGACTTAATCATGGTTATGCAGAAAACACCACAGAGAATATTACATCCTCTCCTATTTTTCTAGAATGTGTATGCAATTTACCTTGAAAACAAATCCTTCTGGACAGGTATGATCATACTTGTAAACCTTGTAGACTACCAGAAATACAACACACGTTAAGAACGCAAGGGCAAAAAGCACCAGCACAGTTACCTGTAAAGAAAAATAAAACATGCTTATGTTAGTAATGCACTGCTTATGACATTGCTGTTTGTTACTGTAGCCAGCAGAAGCGTGCTATGAATGCACTTTACAGTAAAATCAAGCAAGGGTTAAAACCAGCTTCTGCATTATTGAGGGAGAACAGGGAAGCAGCATGTAAGTGCTTCTACCTCCCCCTTCTCGGATGATCTGGTCAGTGGCCCATTGCCTCTGTACTGCAAGGGTTTTTGTTGCATTTCTGCCCAGTGCACACGAGGCCAGAAGGACACACTGAGGTACCTTGGGTCTGCTGCTTTTGCAGTATTTGGATGATGTAAGTGCTATCTACTTTATGTCAGCTGGTAAGCATGTTTGTTTTCCCTGTGCCTGTCCAAGAATGGAGTCAGGTGACAGCAAGGTAGCACAGGTGTCATCCAGGTCATACAAAGGTGACTCCAGCAGGGAAGGAGAAAGTAACGTCTGCCCTCTCTTGCCAGGATGAGAGGTTGTTGCACCTGCTATGAACGTGCGGATAGCTACACCAGTAGTCTGCATGCTTGGCTGCTCAATGCTCCTTAATTTAGAGGTTGAAACAGTACTTCTTTATCACACAGAGACTGTACAGGAGTAGTTCACTGCCAGATCCATAAGGGAATACACCACCTTCAGCACAGGGCTAGCCCTGAGGAGTTCTGTTGCACCTCCTTCCACAGAGAAGCCATTACAGACTGCGTTACATGGCACTGACTTTTCACCATGTCCCTAAGTATGTCTCTGGTCCTGAATGTGGGCTGGAGGAAAATCCAAGACACACCTTAAGTTGAATCTGAAATCAGTGTCAGTATCAACCTAACCCTTCCCAGGAATAAACTCTGAACAGCTGGAGACCCACAGCCTTTTTAGGTGAGATGCGAGACAGAACTACCTCTAGAATTACCTCACCCACTGACAAGAGAAAGCACAAGACTTTGGCCTAGCAGTTACACTACAAAGCTCCCTAATTCAGGCCTGGTTTTGTGGAAGGTGTGAGCTGAGCAAATAGCATTCATTACCTGCGAGAGCATCCCAGATGTGTGTTTTTACTATTCTAAAGCTTCTACTGATAGACAAATGAGTAGCTCTAGGAGATTACAGAGTAAGACTGGTTAAGCTTTTTTTTTTTGGCAAGTTAGAAAGAAGCCAGCATGTGCTACAGCACAAGAAACAGTAATAAAGAGAAATAAACATGATTATATGATTAATTAAAACAAAGTATAATATGATCTAAATTTTAAACAAAGATGAGTACGCCAGCTATATGCACCTTCTGTGAAGAGAATTTAGGCACATCAGGGTCAATTATGCAAACAAGAATAATCTGGTATTTGAGAAAGCAGCAAAAAAATGTAGCTCTGCCTCTTGGTAAAAAAAACCACCACACACTCCCTTTATGATAAACCGCAGAACTAATAGGATTTGCAACACTGCAAACTGTGTGTGGCAGTGGGACTAGTACACTGAAGGACTGAGATGAACTTTTAGGGACTTCTCATGCCGGCGAAGCAAACTTCACCGTGGGCAGACAACAGCAAGTGCTGTATTTCCTGGCTGAAACAAGGCTGGGGAGTATCGTGTGCTGCTGAGCAAAGGATTTTATACAAGACAGAAAATAAGCAAAAAAAAGAGGGATGGAGGAGAGGCAGAGAGAACTGCGGATCAAAAAGTAATTTAGCAGAAGAAATGTAGATATTAATGTAATAATGCAAATCAAAATGAGACATGGAGCAAAGGAGCTTTCTGGTTAATAGCAACATCTTCAGTTTCTCAGAACAGTCACTGGATTACCAAAAAAAAAAAAAAAAATCGT